TATGATTCTATGATATGATTCTATGATTCTAGTATCCCCTACATCTGAAGTTCTGAAGCAGAGGAGGAATGTTTTCCCACCGGGTCTGACTTTTGTTAACAGGCACTGTGATGCAGTGGTGCAGGAAAGGCAGAACACTGTACTTTTCACCTCCATCCCCCTTGTCATTTCCTCAGTTTTATGTTTGTTCTTTTCCCAAGCCAAAAATCCTTGTACAATCATAAAACACCTCATGCAGTTCCCAAGCTATGAGTAGGAATGAGGTTGCTGAACAAGCTGGTATCCCATCCTTCTAGCAAGGAGGCTGTTGAAAACAAAGGTACCATTGGCTATCCGGACAAAGGGATGGTCTAGGAGAGAACAGCAGGGTTCAGAGGGGCTGGGGGAGGCCCAGGTCCAGGTGGTTTTTACATCACTGAGACTCCTAAACTCCTGGGTACATTGAGGAAACTTTATCTTCTAGCTGAAGATGCATTTATGGCTGACAGATATCCAAATCACTGGTATATTTCCTAGATTGTACGAGCTCCATATCTGCACTTAGAAAAAGATCTGAAGAGCTTAAAACATGTTCTGGAAATGAAGAACCATCAGATTCACCAACAGGAGAAGATGATTATGGAGCTAGAAAAACAGGTGAGTTGTCGTTTTTCCTCCAGAGGAGACATCACAGAGGTGGTAAAGTAAGTTTGGTTACAGCATATGAACTTAAAAGGGGAGAAAAAACACATGAGATTGGTGCAGGACACAGTCTAAGAGGTTCATAAATGGGTATATGTCGTGTTGTTCCACTGTCAACCTACACAGCTGCCTCTGCTGTACCGTGTCTCAGGTTTTCACTCAGAAATTTGCATCTTTTCCCACCCCTCCACCCACCCATGATATGCTTCATTTCTCGTGCACTTTTGTTGATCTGTATTGCTTTTTCATGCAATACCTGCTCATCCTGTTATGTTCAACAGTGAGGTGAATGGTGTAGGAAGAATGGAGGAAGGGGAACTTTGTGGTAGTCCAGGCTTAATTTTGTAGGCCAGCCTGCACCATACACCCCTACAGGAGTCAGGTAACCATTTAGGGCTGGAGAGGGCAAGTAGAAGGAAGATCAAGCTGTGTATGTCTTGCTGCTGCATGTGCAGGCACTTAGGGAGCTCCCAGCCATGAGTATGAATTAGCAAGCGGTCCCTAGCAAGGCTTACGCTAGGAAAGCTCTCTCCAAGCCTAAAGTAATGCTTTTCTGCAGCCTATGCCGTTTTCTCATCCTTTGCTTGTGGGGGTCCCTAATGAAGAACTCCCCAGTTCACCATCAATTATATTTTTTATTAGAAAGGGGATTAATTGTGTAAGGCATAACCTACAGTGACAGTAAATGTATAGTGTGATGACAGGATGAGACACTACCTCAGCTGGGGAGCCAGGATAGCTGGTTCTGCAGGATTTGTTTCCATTTACGGGGAAATTTGAGAACTCAGATTATTATTTTGCTGAACAGATGCTTGAGTAAGTGGATCTAGAGAAAAGTGCCTCTTTACAACTGAGGCTTGTTAACTGCACTCCTTGCAACACACTGCTCCTGGAGCTAAGCCAACATTTGAAAACATGCACTGCAGTGTTATACTGAAAAAAAAATAAACAACAGCCTACATGGTTCCTGGTCATTTAGCTGCTTTTGCTAATTAACCACATACAAGCACACAGTCCTGCTCCTGCCCTGTATCACAGTAAAACTCTGGGTCTGGTGTGGTCCAAAGGCACAACAGCTTTCTGTTTGAATATCTGCCTTTATAAGTGCCAGAACATCTACAGGGCATCTCCAAATGCTCTGAACAATGAGGTGCCTCATAAGGGAGCAGGAGGACATTTCAAATGCAAGATCAGGCTTGGCTCCTTGTCTGCTGAAAGGAAGGTCAGAAATTAAAGTGGCAGGAGAGGAGTGGTGTAGGGGGGACAGTTGCAGTGGAGAGGGAGGGAGAGGCACAGTCTTCATGTTGGCATAGCTACTACTTACTAAAACTATTGAGGAAGTAAAGAAGGTGCCCATGATGGTGATTCCTCTCTCAGAGCATTTCAAAACAGAGACAGAATCCTTGTTCTGCTCTAACAAAATATACCGGGATAGGCCAGAATATCTGAGAATCAGTTACCTGCATACACTGGAAAGCATTGCATAAAACTGATGCCTGCACCCTGAAATGTGAGTTCTTGCTAGCTCCAGTGCACAATATTTTGGTTCTTTATAAAGGGTTAGGAAATTCAATAACCAAGCTCACACAGAGATAAGGTTACCCTGTGATACTTGTTTTCTTCCAAAAGTGTTGAATTCAGCAAAATTCAAACTGATGGAAAACCAAGAACTAAGGTGATAAAGTACGTCAGGCTCAAAACTTGTGAAAAACAGGGCAGCTGAGGCTGTGGTACGTGCCTACAAACATCTTAGTGATGTTTTAATACACTGCTATGGACATCCTCAAACTCTGTCCTTGAACTGTCCTGAATAAAAGCTACCTATGCTTGGGATAGGATTAATTTAATTTAATTGTAGCTTAAAGTTAAATGTCTAGTTTAAGCCTGTCATTTAAGGCAATGATGCCAGCAGTGGAGAGAAGTGCCCCTTCCATGCTGGGCATCCTCATGTTCCCCAAGTGCCGCCAGCTCCCTGTCCACAACAACAGCTGGCAATGCTGGCTCCCGAGGGATGAGAGTTCTGGGGGACCACCAAGGAAGATGTTCTATTTGCACTGTACAAGGTTAAGACTCTCCTCCCCCTCGGTTAGAAGTAAGGGCTAGTTCAGCTCTGCCTCCACTCAGTGCTCTGCTGATGAGCCCACTTATTTCGCCAGTATGATGTGAGTCAGGCCTCTAAGTCTCAGCTGCAGTCAAGATGACCACCTCCACCTATCCTCAAATTTTAGAAGTTGCTTTAGGGACAAATAAAGACAAAGAACAAAATCCTCTTGGATCAAGTGTTGCACTTTCTTCAAACTTAACAAACCTTCTTTCATTGCAGGCTGAAAAAAATTTAAAACTGGAAGAAAAAATCACCATGCTGCAACAGCAGAATGAAGAACTCACGGCCAGGATTGAGCAAAATACTGTCATAACAAGGTTTGTGCTGATTATTTGCAATCTGTCTGAGCTTGAAAGGAGAATGCAGATCTTAACTGCTCAAGGCTGACACTAATTTCAGAAGGGGAAAAAGTTATTTCCTCCCAAAAGTGTATTGGTGTCCTGATCTGCTTGTTTTATTAAAAAATCCTTTTCATATTGGGGTTTGCTTACTTTAACATAAGGAAAGCCACTTACCTGTCTGTGTATTTGCATGATTTTGACATGCTGCTGAGAGCAAGGTTGCCAGTGGCTTCTGATCTCAGTGTCAGTGCCCTGAGACCTGTTAGTGTGTAATGGGACAATTTCAGGAGACACATCTAACAATGTCACTGTCACCCAGGCAAGGTTATCCTTTGGTGGTTTTTTTTCATCTTCACTGTCTGTTTGCACAACGGTGCAAAGAGACAGTGCAGATGAAAAAACCTGACAAGGGTGACAAGGTTCTTTGTGTTGAGTGGTATAGAAACAGAGAATGGTAGGACAGTCCCTGTCCCAGAGAGTTTGTAGTCTGCTGAAAGGCAAGAGACCACAGTTGGGGCCAGGCAGAAGGGGTACCCAGGAGGAGATGCTAGAGCTGAACTAGTCCCAGCACACCAGCTGCCTAGCTGTCATTGTTGCCAAAAGTGATGCCATTGGCCTAAAATGCAATTTAATTTTTAGTTGACTTTTTAAAGATTCAGCATCTCATTTCTGATGTAAGTTTAGTTTTTGTCTTTCTAGTTCTCTCCTTTATGAATGATTCAGCCTTTGAAAATTTGTCTCTTGCATGTAGATATTTTTAAAAAGGCAGCATTGGTTGTACTAACATTTAGGTTGGGGTGAAGATTATATTTCATCCCACCTGATTGTAAATACTTGTTACACACATGTCACTGTCTGAGGTGGGTGTATACAGCCTTTCTGTGCTTCAGGAGGAAAAACAGGAATTTTTAAGGTCTGGCTCACCAAAGCAGGTTGAGACACTTGCTTTTAGGCTGGATGAATTGTGATCTGGGAGTGGCAGTCTGTCTTCACGCCTGTGACAGCAGCCAGGGTGCCTGGTGCTTGGCCTCTGCATTGTAGCTACCTGCCTCTGGCTGGGCGAACAGCACCCTCCACTCCCTGCTGGCATCCAGCTGCAGCACTTTGCTTCTTGCCTGGAACTGTGTAGGTACTGGTTTTGAAGAGCATTTTTTGGGAGAAATTTTGAATTTGAGGTCAGTCTGGAAAGTCAACTTAGAAGACAGTCATTTTCAACAGTAACAGTTTGGGGACAGCTTTGGGCACAGCTATAGGGACAGTGTCAGGGAGGGCTTTAAAGCCAGACTTATTAAAACCTGCATTTTTCCTGGCAGCAGTAGCCACCCTGACTGCTCATTTCTGTTGTACTGGCACTGCCTGAGAAATGCAGCGTTAACGAGCTCGGGAAGCTGCCCTTGCTGGGGAACAGCGTGGATTAGAGCTATTTCTGCCAATTTGCACTTTGGGTGCCTGTGTGGCTGTGGCAGCCCAGCAGCAGTGAGAGGAGGGAGGGGAGCAGGAAAGATGGGAGCCAGGACAAAGCCAGCCTTTGCAGCGCGGCCAGGAGGGGTGTCCTGGAGGCCTCGGGGGGTTGAGGGGTGCACCACATAGATATTTGCAATCACAGCCAAGGGCAAGTACAAAGCAAAGGAAAAAGCGCCTGGCAGATCATGCACCAGCTTTGGACACAGGAGCTCTGCAAAACCTCTGCTGGGACTTCCCCAAGCATTTGAATGAATCATCTGATTTTCTAACATCTCGAATTCTCCCTACAAATCAACCAGCATTTTTTGTTTTCCTTTGGATTGGGGATGTTTGAGGAATGGTAGTTTCCAGCACCCTAGAGATGAAGATGACCAGGAGGGTGTCTGGTCTCTGTTGACGTAGCCTGGACACCTACTGACCTCTGGGTCTTTTGGGAAAGGCTTTAACATGAGTTGAGGGCACGACTCAAGCACATTCCTCTGCATCGTTATCATGTCAGTGTCCCCTTGCAGACCTCTGTGGTTTTTATGGCTGTGATTTGTTACAGCTGCTTAAATTGTTGGGAGGCTGCAGAGGGACACATCTGATTATAAGTCTGCAGTGCTGGGGATAAAGGCTTCCCTAGATGGGTTAGGTTTAAATTGGAACATATATCTCAAGACACAAACTTACATAGTGAGAACACATTTGCTTTTACATTGCCCCTCTTCCTTTTTCTGCCTCAGTGATGAAGAGGGGCTAAATGACATCTGTATCTTTTATAAGCAGTGATGCTGCATCTGTCCATCTCCCTCGCCATGGTGCCGTAGAGGCAGATGCAGGTCGGCTGAGCTGAAGGCAGAGGCTTTGCTGAAGGATGCCATCTCAGCTGGCTGTGCAAACTGCCTCTGCCTCTGTGGGTGACATGAAGCTGGCTCTGCCTGTGTCCAGTCACATCACATCTGGTGACATAGTATAAATTCCCCGTGCAGTATGCACAAGGCTAAAATAAGCAGCGCAACAAGCAGCAGCTCCTTTCTCCATCCGCATGCCAAAGCAGGTCTCTCTGGAGGCTGTGTCCACGTGCTGCGTGGTGTGTTCACAGGCACTCAGCTGCAAAGCTCTCTTCTGCTCAGCTAGCCTCCCTACTTACCTGCAGGTCACGCAGCCTGCCTCTGCCAGCAAATTGCAGGGTGTATTGGTGCCACAGTCTATTGTGTGAGAGGCTCCTGAGGACACTGATACCATGCATCCTACCATACCTCTCACAAGCAGCATTAAGCCTTCAACGTAAAGGAGGCTGATGGGCTGGGCTAGCCTCCTGTTCAAGCAGTGACTTTAGCAGAGGAGGGAGCTGAGCCCTTCACCATGCTCTGAGCTCTGACTGCGCTGGTGTGACTGGCCTGTTCCCAATACCCAGATGAGCTTTACCAGCCAGTCACGCACTAAGAGCCACACAAAGGCAGGAAAGGCATGTGAGGGGTTTTTGTGGGTGTCTTGTTTTGTTTAGTTTTCTCAGCAAATGCTGGCTGGAAAAGGATCTAGTGGGGCTTTGTGTGTAACTTTTATGGCCTGTCTTGTTAGACACTGCAAAAGAAAAAGTAATTCCATGTGTAGCAAGAAGTTTTCTATGGAGTTATTTCTTCAGGGTGAGCTCCCATGTGGACTTTCTCATGTCTGTTAGACCATAAGCTCATGCCAGAGCTGGTTCCCCAGTGGGACTGTGAATAGGACTTTCCTCCTCTACCAGGCAAGCAGTTTTCTGAAAACCTACCAACTTGTGTCTTTTAATCCTTCAACTCTGCTAGCCACTCCTTCATGGTTCAAAACTTTCAAGACTTTGGTGAAAACCAGACATATTCTTGATCACCTGAGTTCCATTTCTGTAGGAACCAAGGCTAAAAAAGCAGAAATTATTTAAAAATGTTTTTTAAACAAAATCAGAAATGCCAGCCCCACCCTCTCAGAGACTTTTGATGACACAAAGAGAGTGGACCAGCAGTCCATGACATCTGCTATGGGCTTCAGGCTATACCCTCAAGAGGAGTTGTGAAGAATTTTGTGTGTGCATCCAAAATCCACCCCCAGCTGCTGCTGTTTTAATACCTAGGGGGAGGTTAGGTGCCTCCCTGTTAATTTCTATAAAATCACAAGTTGCCTGTAAACCAGGTTAAGTACATGCCCAGAGCTGCCCCAGGCTGATCACATCAGGGCCTGGTTCCTGCCCAACCGTAACGGGGCTGCGGAAGCCAGGTGTTCCTGCATGCATCCTCTGGGATGGTGGCGTTGCCAGTACATGCCCAAAACACCTCTTGATCAGGTCCCACAGTCTGCCAGCACTGCCCCATCTCTTCTAAAACCAGTCACCTGGTTAGATGAGAGCAGATTCACTGAGGTTGTAGTGGCCATAGGAGATTTCCAGGCCCCACCTCCAAAAAAGCCATCAGGTTATTCTGGGGAAAACACCTCCCTGGTCCTTGCTGGTGAACTTTCCCTGGTGTTGCAGTCAGGCATAGAACGTTAGTTAGGACCAAGGTGGAAGGAACTGGAGAAGAACCCATAGCCTCATGACCATTTACAGAGGAGAGAGAAAGCCTCAAAGCTGAGCTAAATCCTGCATTGGGACAATCAGCTAAAACAAGGAGCATGGAGAGTGCTGACTCCTTTCCCTTTGCATGCAGCAGTAGCTGGTTTGAAGAGTCAGGGATGCATGGCTCTCACCTCTTTGCTCTTGCTGTGCCACTCCACATGTGCTCTCTTGCTCAAGACACAGATTTGGTGGCAGGGTTGAGAAATAAGAGTGAGAGTTACAGCTGTCCACAGAGTTGAGACTTTGGATTTTTGTCCTCAATCAAACAGAAGAAGGCCTAAAACCCAGAACTTTCCCCCTCTGGGGACTGCTCCAGCTGCTATGCTGCTCTGGAAAAAATGGGGCAGCATTGCAAGCACCTCTGGGTTGTGAAACGTCACAGGGCAAAGGTGGCTGGAGCCAGGCATTGAAGCCAGGGAGAAAGCAGGATTTAAGGAGCCCACCTGCACTTTGTGCTGCTTGTTGGTCATCTGCAGGTGTGCCATTGCTTGAGCAGGTCGTTTTGGGTTGATCTCTGCAGCCCTTTGTCTTCCTGGTGCGGGAACAGAAGCCCTGGTCAAGGGCTTGCATGTTCCAGGGAGCACAAGGGCCCGCTGACCCAGGGCTCGGGCTCCATCTGGGGAGGGTTTGGCTCCACAGAGGTTTATGGGCACATTCCCAGTAGAAGCCTCTGTGCTAGTGAACAGGTTGTGCAAACAGAGGCCACAACCCCATGCTGGCACCTGCTTCCTCCATGTGCTGAACGGGAGGAGATAATGCCCTGATTAGATTGGTAGCTCTCGGGGCCAAAACCTACCACAAGCAAATAATGATGAGAAGAGGATATCTGAAACTACTGTGCCTACTTACATCCCCAAGCTAAATATCTGGGGCCAGCTCTGAAGTCCTCTCCAGATGCCAGTGGCCAAGGCTGGCCATGAGTGTGGGACAGGCGTGGAGCTGATGTGCTCTGCTGTCCTGGTTGCCCACCACAGGGACAAATGGGGCTCTCTTCAGCTCCCACCCTGATCGCAAACCCATGTCCTCCCAGGGAAGGCCAGCACTGGGGGAGAGTGAGCACGCACCTGCACTTTATCTCAGCCTAAATTTCCAGTTACCCTCTCCATCCCCTCTGTCCATGAGCAGAGAATCCTGTTCTTGAAGTGCACTGCAGCCTTTCATTTTTGCTACTTTCAGATACACAAATAAAGAAACAAATATGCTAAATTTTTCTTTTAGGAATTTCCAATTTTTACTCTGTTGTCTGTATGGGAAAATGGCTGTTTCTAAAAGTGCCTGGAGTACGTGGTCAATGCACAAAGCCTTTGGCACCTTTGCAAGCCGTGCTTGATGCTGACAGTTGCACAAAGCCACAGGAGGAAGGCTGGGGCTCATCCTGTCTAGGCTTTGGCAGATGAGTTGCTTCAGAGAGGTGTAGAGCAGAGAGAGGCGCATCCAGAGGCAGGCTCAGACATGGGGCCAGCCATGAGTTTTGGAGATGTCTTTCTCACCCAGCAGTGCAGAGCCCCAGGGACATCTGTGCACCAGCTTGGGCAGCTCAGTTGCAGCCGTAGGGGCAGATGGATGGGATGGGATGGGATGGGGGGAGGTGCTTGGGATCCTGCCTGGCCCTGCCTCTTGTGCAGTACTGACTGCATTAATATCACCGTCTTAGCACTAGTGCACCTTACATGTTGTCCTGCTTCCCTCTCCAGGCAATTGTCAGAGGAGAATGCTAATCTTCAAGAATATGTTGAGAAAGAAGTGGAGGAGAAGAAGAAGCTGAGCAGGACTAATGAAGAGCTCCTCTGGAAGCTGCAGGAGGGAGATACCGTGAGCCCCGTGAAACTGCCACCCGCATCGTCCACTTCTTTTTATCGCTGCTCATCAGGGAACTCTTCTCCAGCAAAAGTCAGAACCTTGCGGCGATGATTCAGCACCTGCACCCCGAAGGTCCCCTGCCTTTTATGCATTTCCAATCTGCTAAATGTTACCATCCAAGGAAGTATTACCATCAACAGGCACCAAGGGTTCGTGGCTGCAAGCATGCTCGGTAGCTGCATAGCTTTACACTAGGCAGGGTACTCTTATAGTCCCCATATAGGAGCTCTTGGTTCTGACATGTTAATTAGGGTAGCCAACAAAAAAAAAAAAGGCAAAAAAGCTAGGACAGCAGAAAGTTAGGATAGCAAAACATTTAGTTTGGTGTGTTAACATTTTAAGTATGGTTAGAGCCAAAAGTTAGAAAATACTATATTAATGGTTCATCAGAATGAACTTTTGCTGCAGTATTTCAGGTTAGTTACAAATACAGTTCAAGTTGTGAATATTTCTGTATATGTGTCTGTGTTTATATACATGTACGTATTGTACCTTTATACTTATATATAGACGCACACACATATATATGTAGTTGAAGATGTTCTGAATTGCATTTTTTATATTATTGGATACTACTAAGTGCTGATATATTTTCATTACAGTCAGCAGTTTTCTAACTCGTGCCTAAGACTTGTATCTAAACAAAATGCATTTCTGTTTAGCCTCCCAGGAATATTTATACCCAACCTAGAAGAAAGTTACACAGAAGCAGAAGCGCCTTCCAAATGACCACCAAGTGGTACTCTATGTAACATGAACACCAGCGACTTTGAAATTCTGAGACAGTACTGCCTTCGAAACCATCACCTTTGCATTGAACACCAGATAAGATTTACATAGCATTCACTGCTTTTTAACTCTTAGCATTGATATTGTAAGTGGAGATAGGCTAGAGGTGAGAAACCTGAGGGGTTTAGCAAATTTGATAGAGACTACTGGTTAACGTGTTTCAATTTTAGTGTCTTTAAATCCTAGTTAGATCTTTTCTTGTTTTACCTTGTCCTGGTTTGGATACAATCAAAATCTCTGATTGTAGGTTCCAGTCCATTTTGATTTCTTTCAAGTCCCATAAGCAAGAAGGAGAAAATAAGTTGTTAATCCTTGACCTTTGCTGGCTAAGAGGTCTCCAGTATTAGGATGAGAGACCAGGCACCTGCTAGGGCTCTACCCTCCTCCCATGTGAAACACCAAATAGAGGACAGCAGGCTATATGGGTGCAAATGAGGTCAGAATTGCTTTCCTTCCACGTATATGTATTATTTCACATCGCTAAAGCTTACCCAAAGTTACTGACCACTTTTAAGATCAATGGAGAAGAGTGGCTAAACTACCTTTAACTTCCCTGCCTAGAAGCAAAAAACTTTCCCCAGGCTTGGGGTGAGCCCCACCCGAGGGGCTGGCAAGGTCGAGGACCAGCTGGGTGGGATGGGCTGCAGGGCCCTCATCGGCACTGCTAGCAAGAAGAAAAAAAAAATCCCTGAGCATCATTTAAAAAAAAAAAAAAAGATGTGTGGGATGCTTTTCTGTCCAGCTTGGGACAAAGAG